TCGAATTTCTTATTTTTAATTCTTGTCAGTTCTATTTGTAACTCAATGAATACGTCACAGTAATATTATTACTTACTTTGTATACAAAAATTTTTTTTCTTCTTTTTATTTTAAATGGTATGAGAATTTGATTTAATTTTTAATGTTTTTCCCTCTCTTTTTAGGATGAGAAAAATCAGTTACTCGTCACAAATGTTTGGTTGAAATTGGTAAGTGGAAAAGTGTATTTCGTTAATTAAAATCATTTCAATTATGTGAAATAATATTTAAAAATGAAACTCTTATAATTTAATAAAATAAATTAAAATTTCATATTGCACATTCATGAGTATTTTTGAAATTTTTTCACAATCATAAAAACCGAATGGAAGATTCTTGGTTCGAGTTGTGTGCAGTAATAATTGACTCAAGTGCAGTTTTTAATTTTTTCAATTTAAAACAAAATAAAATTTTTGAAATATTACTTTATTGGAAAATATAAATGAAACAAAATTTTTTTTTAAATTTTTAAATAAATTAAAATCAGAATACATTGAAACTGAGTGCACAATTTTTGTTCAAATGGAAGAAAAACCCATTAGACTTTTACTGAATTGGGTGTCTTGTTGAGGATGTTGAGGAAAGAATTGAAAGAATTTAATTTGATTTTATGAGTATAAAAAAAATACAATAATGGTTCGAAGAGTATAAACATATTGTACTTAAAACCCTAGAATCGGATGGGTATGGAAAGGAATTGTCATAAATTCCTGAAATGATTTTTAATTTTTCCAATTAAAATGAAAAATTTGGAAAAGCACCTGCTGTTTACTAGGCAACGCGAAGAAAAGAAACAACTCAATTCAATACTAAAACAAATTAAATAAATGATAACATTTAATCAAACAAAAAGAATTGGAAGAGAACCTAAATACTTTAAAAACAGAGAATATTTGCTATTTAAAGTCAATTGAGACTCAAAACAGTCCAAAAAGTGAGTCCAACCCATTAAAGATACTAGTAAAGAATGGGCTAGAACAGATACATAGAAAAGTTCTTTTTTTGTCGATGTTTTGACAAACGTTTCTATACCACATATCTTAAAAACATCGAATTGAGAAAAGAAAACAACTTTAGTGCATTTCTGGAATCACTCAATCTCCTAGTTTGTCTTATTACCAACCTCACGCAAGTCCTAGTTATAAAAGAGTTTCTTAAGCTTAACGAAAATTAACCTACTGTATGTAAATTTTTAACCTTAAAACTTGCAAAAAATCGCCTGACATTGGTTATCAATACATTCCCTAGCTTAACTGATGCTCATATTTTCCTTGTGGAAAACTTCACATGTAATAATATTTCCCAATCAACCAAGGTATGATTAATCAAGAATCCTTATGACAATAGTCAACAAAAAACTATTTATTCGAAAATTGAAATCTATCACTAAGTAGATGAATCTCAAACTCAAACCACCAATTTGGCTTCAGAGACAGTTCTTTCACAATATAATCGAGTACACAGAATAATAGAAACTGCAAATGCAAAGCATAAAGTATGTACATCAGTTCTTTTGGATGTGACCCAAGGATTTGATAAAGTGTAGCAAATACTTCGGAATCCATACTACGAAGTATTATACTCTTACAACTTAGATCGACAATTCTTAGTTACATTCAGTAAAGAAAACACAGAAATATATTAATATGCCCTCGACAGTGTTTTGGTTTCTATCCAAAAGGTGATCTGCCGGAAAGAGAGAAAAATTGTTGCTTTTGTCAATGGCAATGTTTTACTCGAAAGTCATACTAAATCACTAAGAGCCTCCTTTTAAGTCCAAAATGATTTTTGTAGCTTAGAGAGTTTGTATTGTGGACTCTAGTTTAGAAAGAAAAACCACTTAGTCTACAATTTACAAAGCACAAATTAATAGACATGCGTTTAGATCTTCTTTTTGCTACAAACTCCTTTTTTTTATGAAGTCGTTCTAAAATAAATATAGCTCTGTGATGTTAAATTATGGGTCATACCCACTAAATCTAACGTTGCGATTATTGAACGATTCTCGTCAGTGGTTCTTTTGATTATAAAATGGGACATATATTATGTTCCTAATAAGACACTCTATTGCGACTTGAGGAGTTGTAATACAAAGCCTTCAGTCCTACCCGCACTCCCTCGCCAATGGAACTACTACAATCTTTAAAGGACTGGTGTGGGCTGAAATGGGCTTAGTTTTAGTATAATTTTTTGATATTATCTTAAACTAATAGTATGTTTAATAGACCAATAGGTGACAGGCTAACTGATTTCGTTAATATGTTGAAATTTTATGTATTCGAAAACAGTACTTAAGGTCTAAGGATAATAATTTTATGAAAGGAATTTAAAAGTTTTTGGAAAAGTTTTTGTGGAATACTTATTGTGGAACTGTAATTATTTTTCTTAATTAGACTTAGTTTAAAATAACTACTTTTTAGTATAAAGAACGTGGTCTTTCAACTACCTAATATACTCAGCAAAGAGAGATCAACAATTAATTTAGTTAATAGTTAACAATAGTAACTATTTTTAAGAAACTTTTAAGTGAATATGGAAGAAAGACATATTTTAACCAATGGATATTTTGGCCTCATACCGGTGGAATATTCTTCAGGTGTCGCATTTGATAGTCAATTGTGGATCTGAAGAAGTGTTTCGAAATAATATATGTGGAGAGATATTTTTGTCATGCTTCTAAGGTACATTCATTCGTCTGATTAAGGAACTTTTACTGTGCCCTATTGCACACTGACTGACGGCCTTAATATGAAAAATTTCTTAGGTACTCGTTTAAACTATTTGTTTGTGTTTTGATAAATATTCCTTCGTGCGGAATCCTTAAAATCCTTAAAAATAGACTAAAAAGAAAAACACTAAAACTTTTACTCTACTTCAGTGCAACAAAGCTTTGTTGTTACTTAAACTACTGATGCCCCAAGGAGACCAGTACTTGGCACTTTAATTGCTTACTGTAGTTTGTGGAATTGAGATTAAAGGTTTTTGTTGAGATTACGGTGCGGTAAACTTTGTCAAAAGTGTTTTTAGTTAAATTGATAAATAGCAGTAAATGCATGTTTGCATATTTATGGCTCACAAACTTAAAAATGAAAAATGTTTTCAACTCGTTATATACATATATATATAAATATATATATATACGAGTACTGCATACAACATATAAAGTATCACACATTTTTGTTTACACTTAATGCAATTTTTGTTACAAAAGTATCTACATGTGGTACTTTATGTACATAGTCCCTCCCAGATCCGATGGGAATACTCTCAAAAAAAAAAGAAAAAGAAGTGGCTCTTATTATTTACATTTTTTATTCTTGTTCATTCAAAATACTCTTCTTTCGAGTTTGCAGAGGAAAGTGTTCAATTCATTTTTTGAAGCATTTTTCTTCTTATATTTATCAGTGGATGACCGGATGATGTTGACGCGATTTCCTTACATCGTCAATTTCAGCCCGATTTCCGTGTATTTAGAAACAGCCAGAAGACGTACAAAGTCAAATTATAGATGATCGTTTGGAATGACACCTTTTTGGTTAATAATTCGTGTCGACAAAAAAAAAAATTAATAATATTCAGAGTCGACAAATCTGAAACACCACAAATACGTTGTTGTCAATTTAAATTTTATATAAAATTCTCCAATTTTTCATAAGTGCTGAACGAATTTCGTTGAATCAATAAATAATAAATGAGAATAGACGATAAATCCTTAAGACGATTTTAATTTTTATTTTACTCTTTAAAGAACCAAATGGTTTTTGACTACTTGCCTGATGTCTATGCCACATTTAGATATTTTTCTTTTCGACTTTTTATTTGGAAAGACCATAAGATGGATGGGAATGGGAAAATAATTTCATTTCACAAATTCCTGATATAAACTCATTTCTGAGTTTATACCAATAATTAAAAATATAGAAATAGTAATCTAATGCCTTATTTTCACTATGTCATTTTCAATGTCAAATGTTGTCAGTATAATAAAAGCGGTAGTCATATGATGTCATATAGTTGTTTTGTTGTTGTTGTGATTTAAGTTAGTGCTATTACGCACTTTTACTCTTATGTGGCATATGCATTCATGTTATTTTTGACAAGTGTTTTATATGTCAAATAATTTTCAATTTAAAACAGCAAAATTTCATTTGACAACTGATATGACAGAGAAAAGTAAATTGCCTTCAGGTTGGCAATTTGTTTCCATATGACAGTTGCTTGGTAGACTTTTTAAAAATATATTGAAAAATTTAACACAGTTTCTACAATTTTGTTTTAATTGTTGTAATGTATTGAAGAATGTGTTATGTGAAAATATAGTTATATATAGTCTGATTTAAATACTCTAAACCAAAGCACATCGCTACCAACTAGTCTTTCTGAAGTACGAGTTTTTAAAATGCAATATAACTGGACTGCGAAACAAATACAGAAGCTTGGAAATAAGCTTGGAAGATGGTAAAAAGAGAAGACACCTGAAATATTTTGTCAAAGGAATTTAAAGGCAAGAATATTCGGTTTTAAAGTTACCAATACTCACAACAAACAAACTCAAGTACTTCAGAACAAACTTCAACGCAACCATTTTTTCTCCTCATTGCATGGGAACAAGATTTTCAATTCTAAAGATATCACTTGGATGGAGATGATGATAATGCAGTTGTCTTGTAAACATCTCATAGCTATTAGGAAGTGAAATTGAAAGGAAACCAGCTACGATCAGAGTCCAATAAAACTTAATCATTAGACATAAAACTAATAAACTTGGCAAGTTATTCTCTGTATAGGATGTCGTATATGATATTGTAAATGTTGAAAGCTGAGAGAGATAAGCTGAGATAAGCTTGATTGAACACAAGATTACATACAAGATTAGACAGGAATACTTATGTACAAACTTTAAGCTCTTGTCAATAGTAAGACTTGACAAGATAATAAAAAATAACATAAAGATATTTTTATTCAATGTGCGGCACTATTATAAAAATATATTTATTTTCTGCAAAAGTTAGTATGCGATTAGATATGCAAGTAAATAATTGTTTTTGTATAAGATTAATAAATGGGAAGAAAATTTAGTCGCCAAGACTTTGTTTTCAAATATTAAACTACATACTGGACCTTCTTTCTTCAATTAAACTACATACAGGACTTTCATTCTTCAATTGTAGTACTTTAAATTTAGTTTATTCTTTCGGCTTAGGCTTCGGTATGCCATTTGGAAAATGCTGCAAAAGTGTTCTATTATATGTAGTTTCACTTAAAATAAATATTATTTTTTAATTATTACCTCAGCCAAGAATTTATTGTACCATGCTTCGCGCCTAGTCCTACGTTCTTCGACTGCCCACAGGTAAGTTTTTAATCTATTACTTGTGTGTTCGAGATTCCTCGAGACTTGAGACAAGGTCCTTTCTGCATATTGAAAAGAACTGCAAGCTTTAGTTTGAAGATCCTCAAGTACTTCACTTTCCTTAAAGTAAAAGTGTTATAATATTATTAGAATACAATCAAGATAAGTAAATGTAATATAAATTCTAAATAATTAATTGATGTAAAGGCCTAAGTCTTACAATTTTATTAAAATACATTTCAATTATATACGATTTATAAATTTTTCGAATATATTCATCACGATACAAGCATATCATATAAAGACACTTCATGAAATTATTGAAACTATAATAAAGCATATCACTCCATTGCTTTTTTTTCTTTTTTGACAATTATCTTTATAACATTATTAATTTTTTCCATCAGTTAAGTATTAGTATTAGTTTACTGATGTGATTGATAAATTTTCAATTCTTAAGCAATTCTTAATCCTCTCTAGATTAAGACTCAATTTAATGTCAATTTACTTAGTTTGGTATTGAATTCGTTATGTTCCAGCTATAAATCACACCTAAGGATTAGTACTAGTAAACATAAGTACTTGAAGTACAATAGGCCCATTCTTCAAACTATGAGTTAGTACTAGTACTAGTGTTAGTACTAGTTTTCTTATCCTATCATTGAATTTTAAGTTTTTAGACTGTGAACTTAGTCTTAATGCTGATTTCCTTGTCTTAGTATCCTATATTCTTAATTTTTGGATTACGAATTATAACTTCATATTAAATATTTAGTCTTATAAAACTCATTTTTCTTATCGCTGTACTACATTACTTCTAGGACCTAGTATTATTTGCCTATTACTTCTACTATATTCGTAATCTTCAGACTTTTAATATTAATCAATAATTCCTAACCTGCAAGCGTAGATTAAATTTTAGTATTAGTTCGCCAATTTGGATCCTATTGTAATAAAAACAGGGTGCTGCTTTCGGACATAACGAGGCACAAAACAGCATATTTCGTATGTCATATATATTCAAAATAAAATACCAATATAAATATATATATATACATTTCGCTTGATATAAAATAAGCAAAATATATTGATTGGCTAAATTGTATGCAATACCAACTTATAATTTTGTTAATGTCCGCTAACATTCTGTTTCATCCCAACATTCAGATTGTATATTAAATCTTAGTACTGGTTACTTAATTTTATAATCAAATTCCTAATCTGTAAATTGTGTCTGTAATATTGAAGTTCAACAAATCAGGAGGACGCAAACCTAATAGATTTGTTGTATGGAAATCCAAATTTTTATTTTAACGTGTGAAACTTTAAGTAATATCTGAGAAATATTTTGAGATCTCACCTCTGTTAGCAATTTTTTCCAGTGAGTTTCTTCAGCTTGAGGTTCCAAACCACAAATTTTTGGGGTTAGTCCACAATATTTTTTGGCGACATCTTTGAATTCTTCAAACGGTTTGTTTGAGAATGTAATGTGCTCTGGTCCTTTGAAGTATTCATACATTATGTTATAGTTTAAAATATTGTTTCCTTTGTTATTTTTCATTTTCTGCTCAGCAATCTTAAGGTCTAAAAGATCCTGAAATTTCAAAGTCTTGTCATCCTTGGGAAAAAAACGCACTGCCTTCTCCAGTGCAATGTTTGAAACGGATTGCATCTTCGGAGTATCAAACTCCACTTCAACTGCGGTAGGATTTAATACATTTGGAACCTCTGAACTTTGTGCACGATTGACCTCTACTGGTACCTCAGCTTAATTAGGGATTAAGGTTTCATATTAAATAAAAGCAAATATTATATAAAAAGTCTGTTTATAATGTATAATGATATTACGGAGGTAACTTACCATTCTTGGAAACAACAGTCTGATGTGTAAAATTTTTCATTTCATTTAGGAGTTTCGCGTCCTTAAACATTGCATTGGCAATATCGCCAAAAATACTTATCTGTTTCGCTAATAATCTAAAAAGAATACAAGAATTTGTCATTATGCATCACATAATTTCACTGTCGATTGTTTAATACTTAGAAATAATACTGGCATCATAATTTTGAGATACTTTTTCATCTTTCGCAAGGGCCGCAAAATATTTATACAATTCCTCAAAATGTACATTGAGTTTATAGCTTCCCAAATTATTAATGTTGCATTCAACACTGAAAAGAGTCACAGTGTCAGAGTCAGTAGACTCAGATGACTCATTCTCAAGCTCAAATCCAGACTTCTCCATTATACAAGCAACAAAAATTATATATACCAAAAAGATGTAAATTTCCTAACTTTAATCAAAATTTTTATGTAACCATATAGATTTTTCCTGTCAAAAGTATTATTACATTTTTCTGAATTGTTGATAATGCAGTTTACTCAAAGAAACATAGATCTAAAAAAAATAACATTACTAATAAATACTATATATGGTATGTTGTTGTTGTTGTGATTTAAGTTAGTGCTATTGCGCACTTTCACTCTATTGTGGCTGGGAGGGAGAAGCCCCCCACACTAAACTTTAACTATACTAGAATCATTATCATTTATTTACTTTCTAACTGATGACGGGCCGTAGATCAGCATATCTTCCTATGCGTCCTGAGGTGGACTTAAGATTTGTTAGAGCGGGGTTGAGCAACGTATCAACTTTTGTGAATAATTTTAGGGCTCTGAACATAATGCGCGCAGTTAAGAAGTGAAACTAGGTGAATACATGAATACATCTAAATCGAATTTTTAACACAACCGAATCATAGAAATATGTGAACCGATAAAACCGGTGGACTCTTTATTTAACCAGAGTAATCCTATGTCCAGAGTAATGACACTACAGTCCAGTGTGAACCTTGGCCTCGTTCACTGAGGGAGGGTTGCTGGCCTTGTGATTAACCCCCAACCAGGAGGGTCAGATCTCCTTATTTGCTAACTTTGAGAAAGGATTGGTGTTTAGTAGATAGAGAATTTCAGCTCAACTAAATATTTTTAGGTTATATCACCTGTACTCGGTTGCTCGGTGTATACTCGGTGTATGTAAAAAAAAAATTCCGAAACAGAAAGGTAAGGTCAAACTAATTCAAATGCACAACTAGTTATTTGACAAATAAATTATTACTCATTTTATTTCACATTTTAAGTTTTAATTTAATGCTATAGATAATTATAGTTCTCAAGTTGTTTGAAATTTTTTTACTAGAAATAAGGAAATGAAAGTAGTTGAAAAATGTCAATATTAGATTAATACAGCAATAGCATTCAAGTTTTGCATAACACATTTATTCCCAAACAAAATAATACCTAGGTTCTGCTTTATAATAAAACACAAAAATAAATTCCTAGATATAAAATATAGTGATGAGTTTTCATCCAAATAAATCTTCCTGGATATACACTATGATTGCTCTGCTGGATTGGAATAATAAAACTAGTGGTGGTACCCTATGTGAACAGCGGTTAGAGTTTTACCAACAGCCAATTGGGATAGCGGAAATGGTTCAATATATTTTCAAATGCGGGTCTAATAAAATAAAAATATCCATATCTTCTGAAAGATATGGACTCATGGGATTTTGAGATGTCTGATTTGTTACTAAATTTTCAGTGCTGTTAGTGAGCACAATATTTTGTAGTTGAAGTGTGAATAAGTTTATTTCGCAAGCGATTTTAATTTAATTTAATTTAATTAAATGTGACAATTTATGAGATGCATTATTTGATTACTTTATTTAGTAAATGATGTTATAGATTTTTTATTAAGAAATAAAAAATTTATCTAATTACGGTCAAATCTCTCTATAGCGAACATTCCTACAATGAATTTTTCTCTATAACGAAGTTTTGTTGAAGACACCACGGTTGCCACTTGAAAATTTTTTCCTGTACCAAAATTGGTTTAAAAAGGTACCATTTCTGTAAAAAAAGGTCCATTTTTTTTTTGTTCTGTGTTTTTCATAGTGTTATAAATGACCAAAATATAAAATAGTGCAAAGTTGCATTTATAAAAAAAATTTATTTGAAACATCCACAATAAAGTTGGGTCGTCAAAAATGTACCATTTTTTGAACATGAGTACCAAACGTAAAAAAAAGTACCAATTTTGGTACTAAAGTACCATAAGTGGCAACCGTGGAAGACACAGCGATTTTCATATATTTGAACCTCTCCATAGCGAATCTCTCTATAACGAACCTCTCTATAGCGAATTCCTCTCTATAACAAAGTTTTTTGCCGACAACAACGACTTCGCTATATAAAGAGTTTTGACTGTAATTTAACCAGCATGTATTTATGTTTTTTTTTTAGAGTATTACTTTTTTGATGGTTTCTCAGACTGTTCTTCTGTAGAAACGAAGGATCTATTAAATGAACTATCTTTATTATAAACTAACTAAATTCAACGGTTCAACGATTCAACGGTATTTGGTTTTTGTCCTTTTTTATCTTAAGGAATCTTGCGACAAATATGGCAGTAAATCACTAATTATTGTTAGGAGAAATAAGTTTGTCCTATACGATGAATGCAAGATAGATGAAGAATTGAACTAAATCTTGATTTTTTGATATTCTTGATACTTGATTTAACCAAATTTGTTGATTTTGAATGGGCAGTGTCCAGGTTATAATATATGGGAAAGATACCTGCTGACCTGCCACAGCAACCAACCAATCATATCTTGTAGCTGTTCGAAACCCAGGTTTATCGCTTAAAACTCTAACTACAGCTGTGAGATCTTGAGACAGTCATAATAATTTCGTAGTTTCAATTCCTATTCATGAGCTTTTAGGTAGTCTTTTTTTTTTGGATTTTTTAAGGACTTTCAAATATAATTATCCATTACATGCAACGGGTAATTCTGCTTTTAATCAACTAATTACGCGGGCAATTATCAGTGAAATCTGCAATGCGATTTTTGCAGTTTTTTGCGGACTTCGCACATATTCTGCAACTTCTTCCGCTATAGAATTAAGGATCCTTTTTTGATAGTTGGGCTAATTTGTGAGCAAGTGTGCATCGCTGCCCATATGACTAAAATAAAAGGATACAATACAAGGATGCACATTTCCGTTTCAATTTGCAGCATTTTATACAGTTTTTTTTCATTGTTGTTGCTTGCAATATTGCTGGTGTTATTGTTGCTGTTGCTGCTGCTGCTGCTGTTGTTGCTGCAACGATAGTTGGTTATTGGTTTTGTTGGTAAACATAAATTATTTTGATTTTTTATAAAAAATTTTTAAACTTTTTTGCTTTTCGATTGTTTTAAATTCGATTTGTGGCGGCATCCTTTTGTGAGACCGGGTTTTGTTAAGCGTTTTTGTTGGGTGCTCTCAATTTTTTAACCGCTTACATTTTTCTCATCTTTATTGAAACATTCTATTTATTTGCATTTATATTTGCACAATGAAGAGAGAGCAATAAAAATTAAAACTTTAAAAATGAAACAATAAAAGAAATTAAAATTTTTAAATTGCGAATGATACAAAATTTATTTTTATTGAATTAATTTCGCACCCAAAAAAGTATTAATTGTGTTAATTTTTTATTGGCATAAAGATGGCATGTATCATATTTTTTTAAATAAAACATATGAATAGATTTTATTAAATTTTTTGCAAAATATTGTACAATCTGAAGTTTTTTTGAAATATACGAATCCGATTATTTTTCGAAAGAATCACCATTTGCTAAAGTAAGAAAGTCATCATATATAAAACATATTTCACTGCACATAAAGTGTCATATTAAACTATATTTAAATGAGTATCAACCTCACATTAAACGAGTTAACTTTCATTATTTGCTCAATCTTCTAAACTGTTACTGTTGTATATGCGTTTGTTGTTTCCAGACTCTCTTCCGATCTTTTTTCGCAAGGAAGCAGGGAACGCATAAGTGCCATCTAACGCTTTCAACGTTTTTACTTAACAAGTTTTAATTTTCTCCTTTCTATTCACTCACATAGCAGTAGTTTCATTGCAGGAACTCTAACATTATTGATACATTGACCCAGTTGCCTATCATTATTGATATGCTCTCTCTGGAGAAATATATAGGGTGGCTGATGGAAATTGCAACAAATTTTGCACCGATCTAGCTGAAACAACAATAATGACAGAAAGCTCAAAATTAATTAATTTGACAATTAGACAATTAATTAATTTTATGCAAAAAATACCAAAAACACACAAAATCATACAAAGCAATTTATGTTTATTTGTGTTTGCATTTTGTGCTCTCCCTCTAACTTTTGCTCACGAAATCTCCGTATAAGTTCACTGCGAATAATAATTTAAAGACTCCGGGTTTTCAAAAAAATCCATTTCATTTTCAACTCTGGAGATTTTATTGAAATTCGATCAATCGGATTCTCCAGATACTTCATGAAACCGAATACGAACAGTAGTAGTCTGTAGCAGCACAAGAGATCAACTATGATTGCGATGCTCCGCTTTGTTAGGAGCCGGTATCCTGTTTATTTCTATTCTTTTTAATTCTAAAGCCATTGAATTTGAAGAAAGTACATAATCTCACCGATGAACAGAAAAGAGTTAGAGTCGAAAGTGTCAAAGTATTGGTTCGTTTGGCTGAATGTGATGGGTTGCCGAATTTGGTTTTTTTTCTAATAAGTCACCTTTCGTACTTCAGCAGTACATAAACAAGTAAAATGATCGAAACAAGTAAAATGAGAGATTAGCTGAATATTTAAACATACGAATGACCAACAGAAAGCAGGCGCCACCGTTGGTGACGGTATGGGCAACCATAACAGCCAATGATCGTTCTACGATAGAGTTCATCCATTGTGTGGTAAATATAAATACCTAAATCTATCGGGAAATTATTTTAGTGTCAACCAAGAATGACTGAAAAACAACGTTTCGTGCTTTATTTCATCAACACAGTGGCCACCGTGTTCACCTAATACAAACCCTTTAGATTTCTTGGTTTGAGGTATTTTTAAAAGTAGAGTTGACATATAAAGCAAGCGCTAGGCCGAGAATGGGCTAAAATATCGCAGAGCCATTTGCGGACAGTTTGCAATATTGGCTGTTTGAAGTCCACAATTCATGCTAGGGATGGCCATACTGAACCAGAAAAAATTAATTCATACTTATCTTTCATTAAATGTAACAAAAATAAACAAAATAGAACATCTTACTTTATTGCAATTTTCGTCAGCCACCCTATAGAATATACATATAGAACTTTAGACCATTTCTGTAAGGAATCTGTAGTTTGGAGTGTGAAGATCATAAAAAAATAAATATTCCCAGATTAACTGCTTAAATATATAGAAAAAAAATTTCTAATCAACATTGTAAAGTTAAAAAAAATAGAGGGATTTCGAACAGTACTAAATTAAAATAACAAAAAATTCTGTTGGACTTCTGTTTTTGCTACTACCCATCAGTTGGTTGACCTTCGGTTTATTTAATGTCACATCTCTAATCAAGTTTGCTCACAGGCATTCTCGGTCTTTTGTTCCGTAGTCTATCCAGGGATATTTCTATCCCAGTTCCCCAGAAATATCCTTAACGGCGTTGAGTATATGGGTCCACTAAAACCCTTGTATCCTCTAAACTAAACGTCAAATGGTAGTCAAACTTTAAATATAATTATTTTAAGTTAATCACTTTTAAAAGAGATATGTTTTTTTATAGCGCCACCATCCATATGTCAACCTTGGTATTTTTTAGCCTGTAGTGTGTATGCACATTATAATAACTCCTATTTTATTAACTCAAAAATTTTAATATTCTCATCTCGGTTTAAGGTTGTATACTTTTTGAATGTACGTGCAGTTTCGTATAGATTTTTATTATTAATACAATAGTACTTTTTTTCTACGTATAAAAATTTTAATAATTTTTTTTCACCCTCTTCCTTGTACAGGAATGGAACGATATGAATCTACGTTGGAATACTTCCGATTATGGCGGTGTAAAAGATTTACGTATACCGCCGCATCGGATATGGAAACCGGATGTGCTTATGTACAATAGCGCCGATGAAGGTTTCGATGGCACATATCAAACGAATGTAGTCGTACGCAATAATGGTTCGTGCCTGTATGTGCCGCCGGGCATTTTCAAGTCAACATGCAAAATCGACATTACGTGGTTTCCTTTCGATGATCAACGCTGCGAAATGAAATTTGGCAGCTGGACTTATGATGGATTTCAGGTTTGAAAGAAAAAAAATCCCTTTAATAATAAAAATAAATAACAATGTAACGAAGCGGTACGAGAAGGGAGTCAAAACCAGAAATAAGTTTTTTTTTTCTTATAAAGAACTTAATTTTCTCTATTAAATTTATTGATTTTTTATATTATTTTTAAATATTTTATATGTTATTAAATCCATTGATTATTTTATATTCAAAATATATGTCTACTGATTAGAACAATTGATTGAGAGCTATGAAATTCAGATAAAAAACTTAAGTAGTTAAAACGAACTTATCCTTAGGTCCAAAATCCTTCATATTTATGATACAGCTTTCACGTACCATGTGAATATTATGTATATGTACACGTCACAAAAGGTATTTCCTTTCATTATGTCATTAATTAACGAATTGACTTCTTGCTTGGAAAAATTAGAAACATCATTCGAAACAACGGACTGTTCTTAGTACGCATATAATATAATACCTTAGCGAGATAATGTAATATGCATTACGATTATTACTTCTTAATTACCTCTAAACAGTCGTAATGTCAGTCTAAGAATATCAGTGCACCATTATATCTAAAACAATGTGAACGAAATGGGCTGATTTGCTTAAGTTTAGAATAGCTTCAGCCTTTACATTTTCAGGGATAATGAGCCATTTTGACTCATGCCTTCTTGGGCTCTCCAGAAGTCAGTTATGTTTCCTTTTCCGCAGTAGGGTTGCGGGCCTACGAAATGTGTTTCTGTTCCCTTTTTGATCAGAATATCCGTCCTTTCATTACCTTCGTGCCCCTCATGTGACGGTATCAATAGCAGAGTTATATATTCTAAAGAATTTCTTGTAAAATTCAAATATTTCTTACATAGACTTAAATAGTAACTCCCTGGATTAAATTAAATTAGATTAGATTTTAAACGGGTTAGGAACTTGTGACCACGTTACTGTATTCTTCAAGGATTATTGTGACAAACCCACTTTAGTTCCATAAACGTTATTAGTAGTTAAAAACGGCATTATGTCCTTTGGAGAGATGTTGCCTAAGTCCGTCATAAGTGTATAAGCTGTTGATAAGTACCTAAGTCTGAGTCTGGCGGGACTATCACAGTAAGACAGAATGTGTTCTACTATTTTCTCTTCTTCGTAACAACGTCTGCAGCTACCATCTCTTGTTACTACCTAGGTTAGTAACTCCCTATAAATGCTTTGAAATGTTATAATTCTAGTAAATTTTCTCAGTAGAAACTTTTTTGTTTTTCTACTTCTTCTCTTTTATTGAGTAAAAAATATTAAACTTTACTATGAATCATTAGGGTTCTGGATCAACAAGTAATGAACTTTGCTCTTCTTTTTTCCTAGCATATATATGCTAGCATATATTTGATTGTTTTCGATCCCAATATATGCTTCGGTGTCTGTTGAATCCCATACAATAGATTATATTGACCCAGAAAATAAAATTTATTGAGATTAGTAAAACTTTATAAGTATATGTATATTTATTATCATCTTTACGCCTCAAAAGGGTTCTACATCAACAAGTCACGAATTTTCCTTTTTTTTTGCTAGCATATATGGCTTTTCATTGTTTTCGATCCCAATATATGCCTCAGTATCTGTGGAATCCACACAATAGATTATATTGACGCAGTATATTCAGAAAAATATTTTCTTTTTCTACATTTCTTAAAAAACATAACTTAAAATAGAAAGATTTATGCAGATTAGTTAAACTTTATAAATATATATATGTGTATATATATAATTTTTTTTATTCTTTGTTTATGTTTTTTTATTGTAAATATTTTTTTTTTATTTTTTGTTGATTATATTTTATTGTGTATCATTTCTTAATCTTCATTGTTTATTTGATTGAAAGCAAGTTTAAAGAAAAAGATTATAACTCGAACCTTTCGACAGCTGGATTTGCAATTACAAGATGAAACTGGCGGTGATATCAGCAGTTACGTGCTCAACGGCGAGTGGGAACTACTGGGTGAGTACGCAATTAGTAGTAAATCTGCTACGTTTGCTAAGAGATGTTAATCATAGCAATAGAAAGCAAAATAAATAACAACAGATTATATATAAAAACAAAATGTAAAAGATATAATAAAACCAAAATAACAGAAAAAAATGTTAAAATTGAAAAGTGGAAAAATATTAAAGTAGAAAAATACAAAAATAGAAAAATACAAAAATAGAAAAATACAAAAATAGAAAAACACAAAAATAGAGAAATAAAAAATAGAAAAATGCGACAAATTATATTAAATTGCAAACAATTTTTTGCCATTAAACGAAAACAAGACAAAAATTAACAAATTATCAAAGGTTGCAAATGACTTGACAACTTCAGAAACAAAATAAAAATTATCAACAAAAAATATCTAAAAATTATAAACAAAATAGAAGCGGAAACGGAAGTAACTGCGTTTTTAAAGCCATTCACGTTTCCGGCGCACTTTTTCAACATTTGACATTTTTTTCGTTAACTTAAAAGTAAAAAATAAAAAACAAAAACCAAAAACCAGTAACCGAAAAACGAACAATATATAAGTGTATGTATGTATGTACGACACGACTCTATAGATACTCCTCACATATGTATCTATTACTTTGTTGTGTGTTTCAAATAGTTTAAGTTTTATTTTTTTTTGTTTTTTTTTTCTGGTAGGTAGTTTTCATAGAGAAGTATTTTCGTAGTTTTATAGAAAAGTTAGTGTTTTGTGTTTGCAGTTCAACAAGTACGTGTGTTGGTATCCGTGCACTTAAATTAAGGAAATACACGCAGGAAGTAATGAAAAAGGTAGCACTACAGCCCGATCGTACTTCTCTTCCCTTCCATACCTGTCCCTCTTCCCTTCCCTGCCATTCCCGCACAAACTGTTATGCATTAAGTTTAGTTTTATGTTAGGAGCAACATAAAAAGTTTTTCGTTTATTTGAAGATAGGAAAAGTTCAATTTGAGAAGATTTACACATGCAGATAGACAACGCACACGGTTTTCCAGATTTTTTACCATAAAGTATGTTTAGTATTTTTTTTTCCTTAACATTGGCTTATAGTTACATTTGACTAAAAAGAACTTAAGACTTTGTAGAGAGTTCAAACAAAGTTCATTTTTATGCAAAAAAATTTCAAATACTAACGAGCTTTTGTAGATAAAACAAAATTTAAGTAGGTAAATATGGCTGACAAAGACCACACATCATAGACCTAACAGATTAGAAATTATACCAAATAAGAATGCTTTAAGAAATTTTTTATATAAACACAACACTTAAAATATGTGCTTTAGATTAGTGCTTTAGAGTATTCGAGCATCGAACTGCAAGGGCTTGATTTTGAGTGTACTTGATTTTGGTTATGTAGCTCAAACCCTTCAAGTATTCAGAAGACATTATACTCTAACAACAAATTAACTTTATATCCTATTTCCTAGAGAAAACGACGAAATGTAAATAACTAAACGTGATTGACCAAACCCACACATAGACCTTACAGATTAGTAATGATGCTAGATCAGAGTAATTTAAGAAGATAATTCAGTAAATATAACACTTAAGAAACATCTATGTTGTCTTTAGGTATTCAGAGCGACTACTTCAAGTGTGTTTAGAAATGCTCGAGCTATGCTACGCACTTCAACAATAAATCTACATATAGACCTAACAGATTAGTAATGATGCCAGGTCATAGTAATTTAAGAAGTTGATTCAGTAAATAAAACACTTAAGAAATATCTATGTTAATGCTTAAAAATCTTCGAGCATCGAATTGACAGAGCAGCACGAGTGTACTTAAATTTGGGTATTCAGAGCGAACACTTCAAGAGTGTTTAGAAATGCAACAACTACACAACATAATGAAATGTTTTACTTCCTATAAGTTAGTGCTTAATTGTTGTAATTAGCACAATTTTTAATTTTGGAAATAATCAAAAGTCACTTATGTTTAATAAGAAATATAACTTTTTTAGGTTAACACCTGATGATCCCTAATATCCTAATAGCCTTATACAATGGTGCTCACATATTAATATTTCAGAGTGATCACTAACCGCACGGGGCAGTACGCAGAACTTAGATCAATTATTGTATAATCACAATGCTTATGAGGAACACACAAATTAGTCAGTGAGATGGGTGGACGTCTGCTTAAACTCCGCAGCTATCAAAGAGTAAGAGTGCCTAGATGTACTAATTCGGAAATGGCTCAATATTAGACATATTAATATTTAAGTCGAATTTATCAAACCCCTGTGAATTGTGCAATTAAAATTTTGCGTTCATCGTCAGGGTGTTTGAAATGTAGTCACTAGTCAATATTGTTTTAATTTTACGTACACCTTCAATGTGTTATTATAAATTTGAAGTCACACTCCGACGTTACATTTTCGATTCGAATTGAAAACATTAGATATCTTTATCAATTATTATACAACAGCTGATATATTTGATGAGTTCCTTTGATATATGGTTTTCATGTTTTGGCAATGTTCATTGTTCCAATCCCTACGGTCGTTCATCAGACTGTATTAAACAAAGCGTGCATAGACCACATATTAAAAACAACACCTGATATATTCTATGAGTTCTTTTGATATATATTTTTTTCATGTCTGGGCAATGTTCATCATTCCAGTCCGGACAATATCATCCAATACAGTGTATTAAACAAAGCATGTATAGAACACATATTTGGTTTGTGGACTTTGTACATTTATGTACAGCCTATTTAAGAAATAGGCTATATTTTTCGTTATTCTAGTTTACTCGTTAAAAGCTCTCGCAACACACAACAAAATTATAGTTTGCTTTCTCCCACTTTGGTACTCGTGATACTTGGTACTTAGACCAATGCTTTACGGTGTTCATGTTCGTCACTAAATAGGCCAAATCTACATAACAACAATTGCGGGGGATATTCATTAGTTCTCGTACACATTCTGCAGAATGTTGTATATTTTATATTCCATACTCCATTCTATAAGTATATTCCATACTTTTCAATCGATATATATTAAACCCAGTCACTGCGAAATCTACAGCGAGTTTGATCAAATTTTTATGCTAAATGATAAGGTAAATACCATTATTCACGATGAGCAAAGTACTTTTCCGTTACTAGTGTCACCGTTTCTGCAGCAGACCGATGGATATAATGATTAAGAAATGCTATTCAGATATTTGAAATAATCTCAAACTGCAGAGTGAAGAGGTAGCATGAGTTGACAGATTACTTATTTATTAAGTAGAAAATAAATCAAAAGTTGAACTACAAAGGAAGAAGCAGCTAGACGACTTGTCCAGATCATTGGTTTGAGTTGGCTACTTAATTATCAGTTCTTCGCCTGAAAAACCTATATGTATTATTTTATTATTATTGAAAAATTCAATTATTTTTTTTTTAATGTAATTTTATTACAATACTTTTGAATAAATATCTAAACTTATAGCATTTCTTTATTAATTTATAAAAAGTGGTCACAACTACCATTAAAGTTATGAGCACGAATTTTGAGTTTTGGCCTTTTTCCCATTGAAATAGAATTGAACGTTCCAGTGGGGCCAGTACGATGTCTTTTGAACTTAGTACAACCTTTTAACCATACAAAGTAAATAAGTTTATTTAACAAAATGGCCACACATATACCGAATGTATCTACAAACCGACACTTGGCCATAATCCATGAGTGCGATTTTTAACCATAACGTGAAATATGGACTATTTTTGCCATTTTCGGCGCTTAAGTACCTTAGACCATTTTATACGCATTAAAAAAAAAAATATATATATATATATATATAATAACTGAAAGTGTAAAAAATATATGTAAAAAGTATAAAAATAAAAATGAAATGTAGAACAGGAGCGAAATCGCAAATAATGTGAGCATAAATCAGGCTGTCGCTGCGGTTTTGCACGACGTTACTTTCGACGTATCCTTGGCGCTGAGTGTTAAGTACATTTGGTGTAAATTTCACATGCACAGGACTCCATGAATGTTTGCAAAAAAAAAAAATATATATATATATATATAAAAAATACATTTAAAAAAAAAATAAAATTCAAAACTGTATGAAGCGCATAAACTGAATCAGGAATATCGTTAAAGTCGAACTATATGAGTTTCAGTTGCCATATATTTTTATGTTTTAAGGTTTTCCACTAGCATAGAGAAAAAAAACTGCATATAAATCCCGCAGGAACATAATTTTGTTCAACATTTCAGTATATTTAATGCTCAAGACACGTATTCGCCCAAGAAGGCAAAAGCTGCAGAAAAATACAAGCTCGAAACCAAAAAAAAAAAGTGCACTTGATATATATTATAAGGATCACAAAAAAAATTTAGTATGAGGTTCGCTAAGATGCATTGAAGTTTAAAGACTGAGCTTTTGTTATGCATATTTAGTTTTGAGCCACACTGAGCAGAAGAAATTAATTTTAAAAATATATAAGTAGATATTAAAAAATAAAAATAAAATAGAGTGCATAAAATTCTGAAGCCAATAAACTTCAGGTGTGCATATCCCCGCTTCAGCTTATATGGGGTTTATCCACACTATAAGCTTATATAGGTATATATAGCTTCTATTATAACTTATTTATTTTGCATAAAAAGCCAACGTTTTTTTTATATTTTCCTACCCGCAGAAACAAATATGCAAAATATATTATTTCTTAATCTATAAATATATACTACATCTTTGAATATTATTTTTAAAAATACTTTAAAATTTTGTTTCTATATCTTATATATATAATTCTTCTGTACGTGTGTTGACAGTGAACTCCTCCTAAACGGCTAAACCGATTTTGATGAAATTTTTTGTGTGTGTTCAAGTGGATTCAAGGAAGGTTTAGATTCACAATTTGGCCCACTGGATAATGTCTTTTTAATCAATTTTTTATTTTTTGGTATCCATATACATTTATATTAGAAATTTAAAATTTATTCATGCTTACTTTGATTTGTTTAAAAACTTC